CTCTCCCCGGCCAAAGTCAGAAGGCTGGTTGCTCGTCCCTCCAGGCTCCCTAGGGCAGGCAGTTGAGTGACGCCTCTCCCTGTCTCCCCCTCCCCCAGGAGAGGTTTGCGGCCCACGAGGGAATGAGGCCCATGCGGGCCGTCTTCACGCGCCAGGGTCATATCTTCACCACGGGCTTCACCCGCATGAGCCAGCGAGAGCTGGGCCTGTGGGACCCGGTAACGCAGCTGGAAGCTTGGGGTGTGTGCCCCGGGGACTGGCATCACGGGAGAGGGGCCAGGCGCCCCCCCCCTCGCAGGGCATGCCCACCTGGACTGGGCTGGAGGCTGCTGCCCCCTTTGCAGCGCCCGCCATCCCCACACCCACCCCTCTGCCCAGTTTTGCTGCGTCGCCTGAAGGAGCCCACGCCGGCACCCCCACCTGGTGATGCCGAGTCCCTGGGGGTGGTTTGCGGTGACTGCATGCGGCGGCGCAGGGGCTATTTGTGCGCGGCACTGAGGGTGATGGGCCCCTGGGAGGGACCCGCAGCTCGGTTCACCAGAGCCGCCTTGCGAACGCACGGGGTTTGCAGCGGGTAGGAAGTGTAAAGGGGCTTCAGGGGATCCAGCAGTGGCACGGTGGCCGGGACAGGGCTGGTCACGCCTCCTGTGCTCGGGCAGAACAACTTCGAGGAGCCAGTGGCACTGCAGGAGATGGACACGAGCAACGGGGTCCTACTGCCCTTCTACGATCCCGACTCCAGCATCGTCTACCTATGCGGCAAGGTGCTTGGGGCCGGCAGGGCAGGGCAGGGGCTGGGTAGAGATGTCGAGGGCCCCGCCTGGGAGCGTCTCTGAACCGACTGGTTTTGCAGGGCGACAGCAGCATTCGGTACTTTGAGATTACCGACGAACCACCTTTCGTGCATTACCTGAACACGTTCAGCAGCAAGGAGCCTCAGAGGGGCATGGGTTTCATGCCCAAGCGGGGGCTGGACGTCAGCAAGTGTGAGATCGCCCGGTCAGCAGCCTTCGCCCTTCTCGCTTGCATGTCTGTCCCCGCTTGCCATCGGGGAAGACACAGGGGCTTCTCCCCTCGTGTAATCTTTGGGAAGGAGTGGGGGTATTTTGTGTGTGTGGGGGGGGTGTCAAACAGGCTTGTTTCGGTGCCAGCCCCAGCGTTAACATTCTCTAAACTTCAGTTTCCTCATCTGTAAAATGATCAGAGATGTTTTACCAGTTGGACCAATAATGTGTTTTGAAGTGCAGTGCATGGTAGGGGCTCAGCAAATGTTGGTCTCCAACCCATTGGTCCCAGGCAGAAAAGGGGGTGGGAGCCGGCTGGGTTGCTGAACCCCGCTCCCTACCTTACAGGTTCTACAAGTTGCACGAAAGAAAATGTGAGCCCATCATCATGACTGTGCCCCGCAAGGTGAGGGGGCGCGGAGAGGGGTTGGGCGGAGAGGGCTCCGAGGCGGAAGGGAACGGAGCAGGCCCGGCCCTCTGCGAACACTAGTCTTCCTGTCCCCCGAACCCCCGCAGTCAGACCTGTTCCAGGACGACCTATACCCAGATACTCCCGGCCCCGAGCCGGCCCTAGAAGCGGACGAGTGGCTATCTGGCCAGGACGCCGAACCCGTGCTCATCTCGCTGAGGGACGGTTACGTGCCTCCCAAGCACCGCGAGCTCCGGGTCACCAAGCGCAATATTCTGGACGTGCGCCCTCCCGCCGGCCCCCGCCGCAGCCAGTCGGCCAGCGACGCCCCCTTGTCGGTAAGATCCGGCTCCGCTCCACCCCGGCCCAGTCTACACATCCCCCTCCCGCCCCCTTCCTGACACAGCCTCTTCTGTCCTCCGCGCCCCAGCAGCAGCACACTCTGGAGACGCTGCTGGAGGAGATCAAGGCCCTTCGCGAGCAGGTGCAGGCCCAGGAGCAGCGCATCACGGCTCTGGAGAACATGCTGTGCGAGCTGGTGGACGGCACGGACTAGTGCGGCGCGCGGGGGTCAGCTCCGAGCCTGGGGCGGGGGGCGGGGGGCGAAGCCGGGCGGGGAGCAGGACTCGGCCCCGCCCCGGCTTTTGGTCCGGAGCCCTCGACCCCGCCTCTCCGGGCTGGGGCCGGGGACGGGACTGGGAAGGGAACTCCTTGCCCTCGCGGGAGGCCTGGACAAACGGAGCGTCGCGGAGACTCGCGTCTGCCTGGCACCCGCCTGGCCACGTGCCTCGTCCGGGACTCAGCAGGAGCTGGCCTTGGGAGGCCCGGGGTGACGGGGACCTCAGCAATGGTGCTGCACGGCGAGGCGGGGTCCCTTCTGTCTCCCGCCCAGGGCAGGGGAAGTGCTTAGTAGTAGCGCTGTTCTTGGGGGTGTCGGGGAGCTTGGGCTTGAGCTCAAAGGGGTGGCGATGCGACGGGTCTCGCCAGACCGATTGGGGAAAGTGACAACGCTTGTCCCCCTAATCAGCTCACTTGATTCCGCTGCCCGAAGTGGTAAACCGGATGGCCGTCACCCTAGTTCCACAGACATACACAGCCCGTTGGCCGCAGAGCCGAGCCCACCGGTTACACCCGGCCGGCTATGGCGGGGGGCTGGCTCCCTTTTTTTTCACCCGCAGGGGAGAGGGCGGCTTCCTCACTGCAGCCCCGCCGGAGAACTAACCAGAAAACTGGCATGGAAGCAGGTTCATCTCCCTCTTCCCGCCCCGCCGCCCCAACGGCCCCCGGCCCTGTGCTGTGGCTTTGGCTCTAGGACGAAAACAAGACTCACTGAATGAAATATTTTACTAAGTGCTCGGTCTGTGCCTCCTGCATGCGTGGGGGTGAGGGGGCCAAGACCCCCGGCCTCTGCAAATGCTGTACCCCACCCCGGGCTTGTGGGGGTGCTGACATGCTCAGGACCCACCGGGCATTCTTTTACCTCAGAGCCCTCCCCACACTGAGGTTCAGAAGGAACCCCCAACCCGTAGGTGGGCGTTCTTCCCCCAGTAAAGCCAGCCAGGAAAAGCCTCGGGTTTGAAGCCTCTTTTATTTGTGCCTCAGAGTCAGTCCGGTGCCCCTGGCATCAGGGAAGGAGGTGAGAGGAACAGTTTCTCTTTGTTCTTTTCTTCCATCCCTTTTGTGTCCCTGCTGAGCCTCACCGGCTGAGCCAGGAAGGCCAGCCTGAGAGAAGGCGGACAAGGGTGTGCGGTGGGCCCCTGCCCCTAGCGGGGTCTGTGCTTCTCTGGGTGGGTGGGGTGGGGCAGGGGAGAGCCGGGGGTTAGCACCATTGGATGAAGGGTTTTAGAGTCAGCCCCTGGCTGGGGGCAGGTGGGACACACGACCACAGAGGGCTAGCAGCAGCTGGTGGGAAGGGGTGGGTGGTGGTGCCAGGGCCCTGAGCCGGTGAGAGGGCTCCAGGGTGCACCTGCCCATAAGCGGGGCCAGGGTACAGGGTCTAGTGTTCGCCCCCAGCCCAAATATTGTACCCCATTTGCCAAGACATCATGAAGGAATCAGGCCTTGCCCAGGCCGGGGGAGGGGGGGAGGGGCGGGGGGGCACCTTGGACACCCTCCCTGATCACAAAAGTGTGCCGTGGGGATGGGGACTCCAACCTCTGGCCGCCCAAGGAGAAACTGGGACCACCCTGAGACCCGGGAGGGGTGTGGGGGGGCTGGGGAAGCCGGGCACCCCGCTAAGTGCACTTGACGCTGAAATGCCGGGGTGAAGGAGGAGCTGGGCCCTCGACGTGCTGGTTTGTGTCTGGGACAAAGCAGCAACACAGCACGTGGGGAGCTCAGCTGCCCCCCTGGGGTGAAGAGCGGAGATGCAAAGGCTTCACGGACAGTGTCCTACAGTGGGTTCTGTGAGCAGAAAAGGAGGACCGGCCAGAAGGAGCGAGGGATGGGGGACACTGCTCCTCTAAGGACCCGGCTCCCCCTCAGGACGGCCTGGCCCCCTCGGACAAGTCTGAGCCCAGGATAGAGTGGTGGGCGTCAGGATACAGCAAAGCAGGGGGGACCGGGCCGTGCGAGCTGCCTCCGGGGCCCTGGCCGGGACAGGTACCCCGCGGCCGCGCCGAACCCCTCCCCGGCTGGTGCCAGGGGCTCCTCTCCGGCCCCGAGGGCCCCGAGGCGGCGGCT